GCTCTATGGAAATCTGTCCACTCTGCACTTTCTGTTTCTTTGGTTCCGGACCCTGAGGAATAGCAACTTCCTTTCCCTTATGCGTTCTTTTGCCCGTATGCTTGGAGGTGCTTGCCGGATGAGCACTTTCAGTCCTTTCTTGCTTCAATCTCTCTTCCTCTTGCACACAAAATGCAATGAGCTCATTGAGAGTCCATTTCTCCTTCTGGCAGTTATAACTGACCTTAAATTGGTTAAATTGTGCAGGAAGAGAGATGAGAAATAAATGGACGAGCAAATCATCAGATAGGTCGAGCTTTAGTGCCTTAAGTTTTGAAGCAAGATGAGACATTTTTATGATGTACTCGCGAGCATTACCCTTGCCCTTATACTTTATTGAAATCAAGCTTGCTAAAAGCGTGCTTGTTTCAGCCTTATCGTTTTTAGCAAAACGCTTTTGAATTTCTGAAAAAAATTCACTGGCAACGGTAACATCCTCTGTTATTGCACCCCGAAAAACTTCTGGAATCCCACGCTTCATGATCATAAGACTTAGCCTGTTAGAACGATCCCACTTTTCAAAGTACACAGTTTCCTCAGGAGTACTTTGTGCAGTGAGAGCATTCGGTTTTGGCATCCTTAATGCCAAGTCTATGTCCATGCAGCCGAGAACAATCAATATGTTCTCTTTCCAGTCCTTAAAGTTTGTTCCATTTAACATTGGAACATTGTTCATGTTGGCAGAGATTGAAGTAGTCGGCATTAAAGCTGAATAGAAAAGAAAATAAAAGGAATAAACAATTATGCTCACATTAAGTTACAAAATAGATAATCTCTAAATAAATTAATTTAATGACAACATTTCAAGATACCTAGCACAACATTAATACCAAGCCTTTGGGTAGTGATATTAACAGTAAGTGGTATTCTTGTTGCAATGATCAAACATTGTTAATAAGTTATGTCAAATAACAAATCTATCTTTTGATGGATTTATTATTCACATTAGGTTTTCTTGACAATTGGCACATGTTTATCACCACTAAATGTGTGTGTAATTCTGCCAAGTATTAATCATGCCTTTGGACCGATAAATACCCGCCTGATGTACACATACATGAACATCAAAACATTCCATATAAAACAATCTAAACAAGAGAGATCACTTTTGTGACATCTTGTTTTAATTGACTTATATTTAGAACGTTTAAAAAATTAAATTTCACCTGTAGACGTTGTATGAAATTACTTTAAATTTAAAGATTTCTTAATGCGTTACCCCGTATATATTATATAATTTTGCAGTAATCAATTATATACATATATATATAATTGACGGTTCCAAAAAATAGTTTTTTTTTTGCCACAAATCACATGCATGAATAGATTATTAAAATGACAAAGACCAAGCCACAAATCACATGCATGAACAAAGACCAAACCACTTCTTTATTATTTGTTACCCCGTATATGTTATATAATCTGCAGCAATTCCAATTATATATATACATATATAAATAGAATTGACGGGTCCAAAAATAAATAATTTACATCCATAAGAAAATTCAGAATCTGATTCCAGGAAGCTAAATAGAATGAATAAAAGCATATCTATTCTGATAATACACATGATATAACCGCTCTGATACCAATTGTTAACATAAATTTCAGAACATAAACCTTACACTTTGGATCATTTACCATATGTATTATCAAGAAATCAAGACAAAATGACATACCTGAATCCATTGATGAACGGTTAAACGGAAGCGTCTGATTGTCAATAAAATCTTAATATTGACTTTGTTAAAGCCTTCTAATCCTTTCCCTTTGGTGCCTTATGTTTCTCCTTGAGAGGATTTAGAAAAACAAAAGAGTATTCTTATTTTTTTTTCACCTTGGGAAGGAATAGGGACCATAACCTTTTAAAGGTTGTAATTGGTTTTCATAACTGAAAGGTAATGAAAACCAATAAATTAACCATTATTGGTTTTAAAACTGAAAGGTAATGAAAACCAATAAATTAACCATTATTGGTTTTAAAACTGAAAGGTAATAAAAACCAACTTTAACCAATATGTTTTAATTTCTATTTCTGTCCCTCATAGAAATAGAAATTATACAACTAGTATCTACACATTAGGTCCATAACACATATACCCTTAAGCCTATTAACTAAATTGAATCACTTAAATTGTAGGCTTCTTATAAATGATAACACCACATTTAATTATGTGGTCTCATTGAGACATTATCTAACGGAGGCATATTTGACTGCTATATGTTTTGTTTGGAATACAAAATCATCAAAACTGGGAGATTATTCAGTGTGTTAGATTAGAATCTCCCATTCTTATCCATTATGAGGATTGGTGTCCATTAAACAGAAAAGTTATAAATTTATTTATAATGTGGGGTCTAAATTTAATTGTGTATAATAATACTTATACTTTAAAAATATTTCAACAATTCAATACTTTTTAATATTTTTTAAAATAAATTTTCTGAATAGCTAGTGAAATCTCCAATAACTGTTCCCACATATGTTATTGAACAAATAGTAAATGCTCATTGCAACACTAAATAAATGTCAAATCATGGACATTAGCGAAGTCAAAACTAAATAAATGCTCATTGCAAAACTAATAAATAAATGCTCATTGCAGTTTTGAGGGTGGCGTGGGTTAGAGTAATTATTTAGGCCTAGTTTGGTAAGTGATATTTTTAGTTAAAAAGTTAAAAAATATTTAAAAAAATTAAAAAGTCAATAATTCATATTAAAAAGTTAAAAAAAAAAATTTCTCTCTACTTTTTACATATTTTTTTATAAAATGTCAAAAAGTCATCCTAAACATACTAATTTTTTTTAGCTCATATTTTAGTCAAATAGTCAAAAAGTTACTAAATTAGCCTGTTCCTAAACGATGGTTTTCAAATAATATATCTTATTATTCAATACATGATATTTATCATGTTATTTTTATAAATCAAACAAAAATTATTGAGTTTTACTGCATTGACTAATAAAAATTAAATTAAAACATTATAAGAATTTATTCCAAGATGACCACAAAATTTTCCGATTAGTTAGAATGCGTTGTGGTAATGGCATTCCCCAAACATCATTTGAAACAATCCATTTGTGTGAATTTTGTATACAAATATGTGGTCTCACATGAGTGATTTCAGATGATGGAGCAATATCATTAAGGGGATTGAAATTTTCCTTTATTATAAAATTATGAAAATTATTTTTAATGTGTATAGAATTTATTATTTATTTGTAATATTTTTTAAAAGCTTACTGTGGATTGAAATTTTCCCTATTACTAATCAATGGCGGTTAGAAATATTCATCAAAGTGTTCATTTAAAAATTTAATTAAAATTTAGCTTTAAAAAAATGATTACATTGGTGTTTCCCTTTCTTTTGGAAAACACCACGAATTTTGGCACCAAATGCATGAGTGGATGATGATTGATGCGCGGGCATGCCAACACTTGTAACCTAGTTCAAGATGTGGTTGAGAGCAATGCGCTCAAATTTGACTCTATCAAGTAAATTGTGTGCAGTTTATTAACAGCAATGCTAGGTATCATGAAAAATCTTTCATGAAAATAATCATGAAAGTTTTGTAACTCTTAGATTATACTTAGAATAAACATCACACACTAATTAAGATAATCCAAGGATCATAAATTTTTCATGATCATTTTCATGAAATTTTTTTCATGATCTCTAACTTTTCCCGTTTATTAAACCACCACCAATTCTTTTTGCCTCAATGAAGAAAATTTCACAATTTTCTCAGGTAATGGAGATCCATTCACACCTCTCTAACACTGATTACAAAAGCAAGCATAATTACTTTTTCTTTTCTTCTGAGCTAAGACAAATTTTACACATCAAAATGTTCCAATTCTCATCAAGTGTGAAAAAGCCAGGAGTGGCACACACACAAATGATGATTTCAATAGGGTTATAGCATAGACACTAGAGGGATATCTAATACTAAAATATGAATTGTGAAGACAACAACACATTTCTAATCAACTAAACCTAATATCCCTAAATAATTTTCCCTAATTGAGAAAATAAACCTTTATAGCAGTGTAAAAGAAAAATATCCAAAATAAGTTGACAACTAAAAATCATCCAAAGAACCTAAACAAGCAGTCACACATACAGGTCATGTATATATATAGAACCAAAACAATAAACACAATATCAGAGAGAGCACATATACATGTATATATGTATTGTTCACCCATGAGCGAGATCTGGATGATGTACTCGATGATTTTGTGATATATATATATATATATATCATATATAATAAAAACTTACAAATCTGAGTGACCGATTGAGCAAAATCTTCAAAATCGAAACTCAGTTCCAATGTTCAGTTCCAATATATGATCTGCAACAAAACAGAGCAGCAACAAAACATGCAAGATATCAGTTCCAATGTATACATTCTTCAAAATCTGGATTGACCAAAGGATCAAAATCGAAACTCACAAAATCGAAAGAGAGGAGAACCAAAATCGGAAGATAAGCGCAAATCTGGTGGCTTTCAAAATCTGCAACAAGTTTTGAAATCGAGCAAGTTTGTTTGAAATCAAGTGAGAGAGTGTTTGAAATCATGTGTGTTTGAAATCGTGTGAGTTTGTTTGAAATCGAGCGAGAGCGAGAGTGAGAGCTGATCAGTGAGAATGAGGGTTTCTGAGCTTCAAATCGAATGGGTTTCTGAGTGAGAGAGAAAGAGTTTGGATTGTGGAAAAGTGCGAGTGAGAGTGAGAGACGTTTTTGAAATGGACGGAGTATTGAACGGTGTCAACAAATTGACCCAAGCGGCGCCATATTACCGAGATGAGAGACAACGTTTTCAAAACGTTGTATTTAACTAATCTATAATGGCGTTTTTCATAAACGTCATAAAAGAAACGTTGCAATAGGCAACTTTTCTTGTAGTGACTTCTGATCCGCTCAACACTCTCGTCTTCGTAAATTTCTTTCCTTTAAGCAAAACAAGCAAGCAAAACGAGCCCAGACAACTCCGGAGCATCTGAGAAAGGTGGTTCATCAATCACAGGGAAACCATTATGCCTTGTCATCTTCAAAGCATACAATATATCGCCCACTCTCTCAACACCAGAGAAAAATATCAAGGGACTGGAGACAACATCCCTTGCAACCAAGTTCCTCATATATGGCTCGGCATGGGCTTCCATATAAGGCAATCCTTTCATTTTCACCATTTGGTCATAAACGCCTTTGTTGAAACAATCAGCCACGGTCTTTGAAACAAGGAGAACTAGCATGACTAATGGGAGCATTAATAGATTGTTAGTAAGTTCAAGAAGTATGACACAAAGCGACACTGTCATTCTCATGGTCCCACCAAGGAAGGAGGCAGCCCCAAGGAGTGAAAAGAGGCCAACATCGAGTTCAGAGACAGAGCCCAGGAGGGTCCCAACAAGGCGCCCATAGGAGGCTCCGGCAAGTATGACGGGGATGAATAGCCCAGATGGAATGGCAATGCCATAGGTGACAATACCAAGGTTGTATATAGCAACAAAGCAAATAAAAAGAGTAGAGAGGGAAAACTCCTTTTCATTTCCGGAACTGAATAAGTTGCAGATGACATCATCATTGGTGTTAAGGAGGAGGGAGGCAAGGTCATTGTACTGGCCAGGTGGACACTGGAAGTTCTTGTAGTTTCCAGAACGACCTATAGTGGGGCACTCATGTTCCAGCCCAATGGGGCAAGGGGTACACCTTGCTAACCATGGGAGGCCATAAGAGCAACAAGAGGTCAGGAAGGAGATGGTGGCAACAAGCAGGACTTTGAATCCGGGACCTCTCCTGCAATCAATTCTCAGAATTAAAAAGAGCCAACACCACTAGAGATCTTGTATAAGTTAACAGTTTGAAAGCTAATTAAATCATGTAAAGTTTGGAGTAATTGGTGCATAAGTCAGACCAAGTTTGGCAAAGAATCATGTGGAGGATATTGAGGTAATTTCAAGCTCAAGACATGTAAAAATTGGATAAGTACAAACTAGTTAATGTTAAAAGAAGAGAGAAAGTAAAAATTCAAGAGTGAATTTGTACAAGTAATGGAACGAATAAAAAATATCTACAAGATTTATTATCATGAAAAATTGATAATATTGCATAAAACTTATCATTTTGTGACACCTTCTTTACAAAAATCTTAAGCAGAATTAGGGTTCTACTTCCAACAAGGCTCAGTTGGGATACTTGAATTTGAAATGAAGGGATTTGGTATCATCATTCAAGGGGTATAATGTTTAATTCAATATAAATGTTAGATACGGATTTCAAAAATGGAATTGAGAGTTTTAGATTAATGGATTAGAAATAGCTAAACATAGTTATTTGAAAGCCTTCATTCTACTTGTACAAAAATATAACAAAATAAATCTTCCCTATCTCTATGCATTCTTTACCTTGTATTATCAATCTACGTCTAATAATCAACCTTCTTCCAACTTTATAAAATTGAATATCAAAAAACTCTTCATTTCAAATTCATGTATGCAAATGGAGCCTAAAATTGGCCAATTGTCACTTTGATGGCATGTTTGCAAAAGTGATAACTCTAATCACTTGCATTCTTTGTATCACAAAGCAGAATTATGAGGGCATACTCATTGATGATGCTATAAGTGCGAAGAACCTTGTCCACAAGATAATTGTAAAGGCTTCCGAAAATGTCTCCAATAATTCCAAGTAATATAATTGCCAATAGATCTGGGGTGCTATAAGTAGGCACTGCTGAATTGACGTCAAACATGATCAAACCTCCTTGCCCAAATAGTCCACAATTTCCACCCCGACAAAATTGTATAAGAGATCTCAACACCACAGCTACTACTGCTGTTGTGAAAAAAGTCCTCCAAAGAAGAGCACTCCGCTACCTAAAAGACATCAAGAAGGATAAGGTCAATGCTTACAGAAGAATGAACTTCAAAGCTATATCCATAATTACATGAGAAGACAAAAGAAACTAGAACTTACTAAAATATTGAGCGAAACTATATGCTTCAATACATTTGTGTATTGCAGTCAATATTTTCTAACATATTTTTCCCAGTTTCATTAAGGACCAGGTTATTCCATTGTTTTGATGGTGTGTGAACCATTTCAGTAAAGTTACCGAGTGATAAAGGTACTCTACTTCACTTCATGCTTCTTTTTTTGTTTTTGAACTATTATTTCTTTCAAATGATTAGCTGAAACAAAACATTGACAAAGATGGCTTTCAATATTGGAGCTATAATTTGTGACATAAGCCAGACACAAATCTTACGAGTAATACATGTTGCCTGATGAATGTTATGAAAATGCCAAAAGCATGGACTTACAAATTTCAGTTACAAAATTTAAGCTGACAGATTTTGTGAAAATGCCAAAAGTATTATGGACATACACATTTTGGTTGCAAAAATTAAGCTGACAAATTTCACAAAAACTCTGAAACTATGGACAGTGATTTTAGAAACAGAATCTAATATTTGATAAATTTTGTGATTTTAGATCTAATGATTTGTGAGTCCAACATCAATATGAGTCAAAAGATACCAGTTGTGTGTGCGCGCGCGCGCGCGCGTGTGTGTGTGAGAGAGAGAGAGACCATGAAGCTGCTTCTTCAAGAGCAAAGAGAACTCCACCAACTGGGGCGCGGAAGGCAGCCGCTACGCCAGCAGCAGCTCCACAAGTGATCAAATCCCGCCGATCCCTATCATCTGGGGCGCGGAAGGCAGCTGCTACACCAGCAGCAGCTCCACAAGTGATCAAATCCCGCCGATCCCTATCATTTTTGAAGTATCTGAGCCATTTCCATGTTAAATGGTACTTGCGGGAACCTCCCTGTCCAAGTAAGTTGGCTATGCAAGAGCCAGTGTGTACCATGGGTCCTTCCTTGCCCACGACAAAACCAGCAGCAACTCCAAAAATAGAACCAAAAATCTGCCAAAATAAGTGATTTTAGAACACTAAAAATGAGTTCATGATAGCAGGCAACTAATAGTCTAGTGGAGCCTTCAGAAAAAGAAAGAAAAAAAAAAAATTAAAATCTGAATCAGCACTTATTCCAAGCACTAAAATGGTACATATTAATATGGCAATTTATTGACATGCAACAACGTTTGAACTGCTATAGCCAAAAATAAAGAAAAAGGAAGCAAAGCTTCACAATTACGATAATTACCAGCTCCACATTGGGTTACGTTATGTGAGTCCACATGCTAACATCTCGGGTGATTGGGAACAATAGTCAATGACAACTGACAAGGATAGTTGCAGAAGAATTACAAATGAAGAGGTTATAGTGAAACTGAAGAGGCAAGAGATTGAAACCAAACCAACTACAATACACTTACCTAGTCAGTACCCTAAAATCAAAATTTCTAAAATAAAAAAGTAACAGCATATGCTTTCAAGGTGTTAAAAAAGGAGAGATAACATTTTTTGGGGATAACTCAGTATCCGGCCCATTAGACTAACTAATCTGAGGACCAATCCTACCGTCCACTTGCGGGGATCCCAATTAAAGCCAAGGCAAAGCCCCGCATGGACTGGCCCCAAGAAATTGCTTGCACCTAGGAGGTTTCGAATGTGAGACCTTGGAGGGAGCACACCCCCAAGTCCCGGGCCTTGACCACCAGGCCAAACCCTTGAGGTTAAAAAATGATGATGATGAGACATACTTGTTATGTACTCTTATGCTATGTTGAAATATAGAATATATTTAGGATCCCTTGATTTGTAGATCACATATATTTAGGGCTTAATTTATGCACTCTTGTTTATTTCCTCTTTTGTAATCAATATCATTATATATACACATGGCCTCACCCTTATTGTGGTAAACCAATTTTACATAATTCTTCTTGCTCCACCTTATTGTGGATGAGACAATTATAATAATAAGAACTTGGAATACTCAAAAGGTTGAGGTTGTGAGGGCAAACATAAGATTCCAATAAAAATTTGAGAGAGAGAGAGAGAGAGAGAGAGAGAGAGAGAGAGAGAGAGAAAAAGACATATAAAGCAAGTAATACTAAAACAGACATATGGAGAGGTGATATACATTTGGAAGTATGGACAAAAGGGGCTAAAGGGAAGAAAAGGGAAGAAGAGAAAACCAATGCAAAGAATAACAAACCAGAAGGGATGACAAGAAGACACTCCTTTGTGGGCAGGCCCGGTCCTGAGATTTTCGGGGCCTAAAGCCAATAATCAACTACTAAAATTTTTGGGGTCCTTCACATTTTTTTTTTTTATTGAATGGAAAAAAAAAATTAAGGTAAAGGACAAAAGATTTGCATTAAAATCACAAAAAATACTTAGCATTACATTATAACAACTAATATATATCACTTGATCCTCGCTCTTCTTGCATTTTTAAATGAATTCTTCTTGATGATGTAAATACCAATATTATAATAGCAATTAATTGGGCAAAAGACAAGACAAATATTTAATTAATTGAATAGAAAAAAAAATATTTACCTATGCTTACTGTGTTGAGATCAAAATATTTTTTTAAATCAAAATTCAAAATAAAAGCACCACCACTTAACAAAATACAAAACTTTTAATTATGTGATGTGAACTATTATACTTAAATAAATTTTTCTTGATGATGTAAATACCAATATTATAATAGTAATTAATTGTGCAAAAGACAAGATAAATATTTAATTAATTGAATAGAAAAAAAAAAAAAATTACCTGTGCTGCTGGAGCGCTGCTTCGTCTGGCTGCACAGATTCTTCTCCCTTGCTGGTATGGTGTGGCTATCAAAGGGAAGGTTGATAGGGTTAGGACTTAGAAAAAAAATGGGCCTTTTAAGTTGGTTTGGGCCTTAAACTTTTGGCTTTTTAATAGGTCAACAAAATTAAGTTGGTTTGGGCCCTTTTTTATTTTTTTTTGGACTCAAAACACACCTAACATATTATACTAACTTATAATAGGAGGGGGCCCTCATTTTGGACCTATTTTGAGGGGCCCTAAGCCATGGCCTTGTGGGCCTATGGCCAGGGCCGGGCCTGTTTGTGGGCAATTCATGAAGCATGAATACTCCAAGAAAGGCCATGTATGAGTATTGGATACGGATATGCCTCCAATATGACTAGGTACATATTGGAAACGCCCTAAGAAGCATGAACACGAATATAGTGATTTCAAAAAAATGGGGACACGGACATGGCAAGGACCCAATAATAAAATATATATTTTTCATATATTTTTATATGCTATGTAGATTAATATTACATCTACAAACAATCAAAATTAACAAAAACTAAAACTAATTCGATATTTTAAAAAACTTCACTTTTAACTTGACACTTATCGTATATATCCTTTTTTATGAATGATCTATTAAGTATTTAAATCTAAGCAAAAAGTAATAAATATTCAACGTCTAACATCCATCAATAGCACTGACGAAAAGGGAAAAAAAAATAAAAATTTGGTGTGTCCCCGGAAAAAAAAAAAAATAAATAAAGGGACACGCCACATGGTGAGTCCCATACGTGTCTCCGTGTCGTTTTCCTGTGTCCAACACCCCTACGACACTTGTATTAGAGTGTCAGTGCTTTATAGGATACACCAATTAAGTATCCAATTTAGTTTTTTTATTTTCTCTAATTTTGGATATGGGAGAGGTATGGGAGGTATATGAGAGGGATACGGGCGGATACTTGAGGCATATGGCTAGTAAGTGTCCAATTTATTTTTTTCCAAATTTTTTCTAATTTTTTATTTCTATTTTTTCAAAGATCAGTGCTCTCTCCCTCTATCTTCATCTATTTCTATCTCTCTTAGTATTTTGTTGGGTTTGTTTAGTCTTTGATTTATTCCTTTGTGATAGAACAATTTCTACTATGTTAGCCTTTGCTGTAAGGGCTAATAATTGTTCACCATTTCTCCTTTTTAGATTGTTTCTATTGTTATTGTGAATTAGGACTATTGTTAGCACTGCTTAATTTTATTATCTTTATTATTCTTCTTTAAATTTTCTTGAATATTTGAATTCTCTATTATTGTCGGTTGTTCATTCTCTATTAATATGCATAGTTGTTAATTGAATGCTCTTTGATATAATCTTTGATGAACATAAAATTCTCTTTTTGATATTAAGGAATTTAGTACTAGATATTTTATGAATATACTTGCCCCCCCTTTTTTTTTTTTTTTTTTAAACAAAAAAAAGTTAAGAAAGACTTAACTAAAAAATAAAATACATGAATCCCCACAAAATTAACCCACAAAAGCCAAAGCCACAGCCAAAACCCAAAGCCACAGCCAAAACCCAACACCAAACCCAAAACCCAACACCAAACCCAAATCTGCTTCACTCCCTACGCCAACTTGCTATTTTTTAAAAGAAAAATGCTCCATACCACTAATTTAGCACCGACCATGCCAGGGGAGGGGAGGCGTTCTCTTCCGAGATGATTTCTTTGGTCTGTTGTCCTCCTAAGAAGGATATACAAGCTTGTGAGGCTAAGGGCTCGTACTCTTTCTTCTGAAGGTGCAGATGGAGGCTTATTGTGAAGAGGAAGCAAGGGCGCGCATCTGCAATTCTATTCGTTGACCAGTGTCCAGTCGGTCGAAACGGAAGAAGAGTATCAAAGTCTACAAGGTGGATAAGGCGGCTTGTTGGGCATTTTTCGGATAAGAGGCTATGTCAAAGGCACAAATTACCTACCTATACCTTGGAAGGTGTCAAGATACGTGAACAGCTCAGTTTCAACTATATAACGAATACAAAAAGGGTGTAGTTTAGGAGTCAAGAGTACTTTGGACTCGTCACATGATGATGATTCTGCTTACGAATACGAGTATACTATCTGCTTACCTTTAAAATACGAAGAATCCTCTAGCTTCCTCCCCTTCGTCAAGGCTATGGGCTGGGAAAACGTGGGTAGGCTGCCCAACGACCACGGAAGCAAGATAATATGTCCGTCCTGGTTCTCCGCTGATGAGAAATGCAAATCTTTATCTGCACACTACCAATGATGTGGCATCATGTGGACCCCACCACTGATGTGATAGTTTGGCCTTTGTTTTGTTTTTTTTTTTTTCTTTACATTACCACGTCATTAGTGGTGTTTTTAAAACTTTAAATTTAGTGCTCCAAATCACCGCTCTTTTTAAAACCAAGTCTATTCACCTATGCTGCTACAACACCCAACGACACCTGCTACACTCCCATGCCTGACAACACTAGTCTATTCACCTATATGCTGCCACACACCCACGCCTGCTACACTCCCACGCCGAACCTGCCAGCCATGGAGAACCCTGCACAACTTTGCCAGCCCAGAACCCTGCACAACGCCCACCTGCCGACTCCTCCCTTCACATTAACACTCCTACTAGTAATCTACCACACTGTGTGAGCCGATACAATAAGTACAAAAGTTGTGCAAAATATGATCCTATAAAGACACATCACTAGACGTTCCATGGCTGGAAAACTCCATAGCCAACATGGCCGGAAAAACTCCTTGCCTCCACCGCTGCACAAACCCGGCTGACCTGCCTTCTCCCACGCCTAGAGAAACTCCTTTCGCCAGCCTTCTCCCACGCCTGACATCTCCGTTCTGCTGTGCTGCTACTCGAATTCTCTGGCGGAACTCCCACGCCGTAGCACTGCTCCCTTTGCAGCACTTCCAATATCGAGACACCCACCGAGACAAACACTTACACCCAACAAGAACCCCCACGATCT